GACTGTCAGAGTACAAATTTACTCTGAGCTGAACTAGACCAAAGTTCAATATAGAAGATTCCATGCATCCTCCTCTACAGAGTGAAGGAAATCTTGGTATTCTTTCTGTCCTTGCACACCTAAGGGATCCCCAAAGCAATATCTGCCGAGTAATCATACAAAACCGCATACTTTATCTTTTAAAAACTTTGTAAGCCTGTTTTTTCACCATTATACGTGGACTATTTTAACTAGTACCTACTCTCTACTGCAAGTCTCATAATGTTGTAGAGACAGTGCAGCCCCCGGCGTACTAATGCTATGCAAAAGGTACACCAGTGTTCCCAAGGTGAATGCCAGGCCATCCTCTGTTTGAATGCAACAGGCTAAATCTTGGCCCTATTCCAGAAACGGAAAGCAAAGAAGAAACTCACTGGCAATTCCTCCAACTTAGTGTGTTAGAATTCAACATGCTTTCTTGAGACCACCATTAAAGGCTACTCCTGCTGTCTTATGACTAGACTGGCATACAGAATGTTGAAGAACAGTGGAAATGGCAGTGCTGGCTTCCGGAAAAAAAAAAAATCTCTCCAACTGCTACACAGCAAGGAAGAAAATCCAAACCACCAAAATAATCCTCCCCTACAAAGTACTGTAACCAGATCTAAGCACAGTATTAATTACTTATACCAGGAAATCAAAATAGAATACTTTCACCACTGGAAATAAACCTTTGAATATTTTTCATTTAAAGAGCCATTCAGTGAGAGAGGAAATACTAACAAGGAAATGCCATTTTTTGGTATCAATCTACTTACTCCTGGGTATTGACTGGCATGGGGCGTGAGATTCTTAAAGGCCCACTGGATATTCTGATGAGAAGCCAACTGCCTGGTGAACGCAGGGGACTGCTCACAGCAGAGGCGCAGGATGCCGTAGTAGGCAGGCAGCATCCCGCGGTTAAAGAGCACCACATCCTGATCGTCGTGGTCTGCAAGGATGTAATTGAAGGCAATGTTCTTCGTCACCACAGGATTCTGTACAATAAGGCGTACGTTCTCCGGACAGTCAACACACACGTTGTACCAAAAAGACAGCAAAGCCTGTTTATTGTGGTTGGTGGCTATAGCCGGCTCAGAAAGTTTAGGCTGGAAAAGGTTCCATAAGTCCATGAAGTAAGTAGAAAACATGAGTTTCTCAGTTTTTGAGATCAAACAGTATGTCATGAAACTGAAGTAGGGCACAAGTTTTGTAGTGCCATGAACAGCAGCATCAACATACAGCTTAGCTCTTGAAAGAAGGCCAAGAAGCACACTGTAGACTTGATGAAGAACTACCGTAGTATCTGGACTAAGAGGCAGGTCGCGTGTAGGGATGTGCAAGGAGCGGGTTGATCGGAACATCTGACGGAAGGAATTGCTTGGAATAAGCGACACCAAGAGATAGGCTGCGGCTTCAAATAAAAACAAATTTGTTACACCTTTGAAAAATGACACACATGCATAGCAGTCATTTAATCAGAAGTTAAATTACATTGTGTGTTCTGTTTACAGATTTCAAAGCATTTTACAGAATCTGGTACTACTATATTCGCACTGGAGATGAAAAAAAAATCAGAGTGGATAAGACTAGCATGTTAGAAGTGGTGTCAAGATTTGCTTTCAGGCCTCTTCACCTTGTAATCCTGTCTGTTGCTTGGTTCTAACTATTGTAACACAATGCATCCTATCCCAGAAATGCAAAAGCAGATCATTTCTATGACTAAATTGTGTACTGTTTTATCAAGACATCATTACCTCTTCAGGGATGTTTACAACTAGAGTCTGTTGCAAAGCTGTACCTCCAGTTTCTACATCTCCTTCAACCACAGAAAATGTATAAAAGTTCCGTGTGGCCTGTTACTGGGGAATCTTCTTTATAAAAGATACATATGATCTGGCAATCTGATAGCACGATTCTTGGCAGAACAAAGTAGAACGCCAGGACACCCTGGACTTGGGGAGAAGCACAGGCTTCTCCTTGATCAACAAGTTCAAAGGACTCAACTGAAGGTTGCTCTGTGAGGAGTGAAAGAACAGGTACTACTCCTGCCTACAGTACAACTATGTGAAGGACACTATGGAGCACCTCTTGGATTAGCTCTTTTTCTTCTTTGGATCTTCCTGGATCTTGTAGATTAACCACATAAAATGAAGAACCTAGTAATGTATCATTCAAGTTATGAAATCAGTTTTCATCAAAACCAGGTAGCACACCTTGACGAGGCACCACAGTTGTACTAGTATTTTAATATAGAGGAATTCTAAAACAATTGGAAAAGAAAGAAAAGACAAGCACAAAAGCATGTATTTAATTTGTGCCAGGAATATCCCACGCATAGTAACTTGCTACAACAAAAGAAGAATTTTCTTTGATTTAAATTAACTTACAAGTTCTCACTCTAGGATAGTTGTGTGCCAGAAGAAAACGTTCAACCCAGTTTTCCATATTTTGCAAGACCCAGCTGTGAGCCAGTTTATTTCGAGGTGTTTGCACAGCCAGCCAATCCAGGCACTGAGATGGGTTGTATTCAATGACCTGAAAGAAGAGTGGAAAAATTAAAAAGAATACATTAACCTTGATATTATGTACTGATTGTATTAAAAAACTCTAAAAATAACTACTAAGACTTTAAAAATATTTCTTCAAAATTATTTCAGGCTACCAAAGCCTAATAAGACTGAGGTGCTCTGGCAGACAAAGAAAACTCTTATTAGATTTCACAGTGGTTTGTGCTTCTGAATCCTGTTTGGAGTTTTGAAAGTTCAGTCTAAGTCAGGAAGTTACATGTCCTTTCTGCATATTGTGAGATACTTATGAGTTGAAATGTTAAGCACTTAGAAAGCTGAACAATCTTGTCTTTATAAATAAGTTTGGTTTTTTTCAAATAACTAACACAAAATCATAACACTGCATCAGTATTTTTATACAAGTTATATCAAAAGAACAGAGATGCTACGCAAATATGTTCATATAGCTTCACACTGTGGGTAACTATTATGGTTTTTATGAATATGCAATTTCAAGGAATAAATTAATCTAGTGCTTTCCAAAGGTAACAAAAAGCCTGCGGAGTGCTGTTGTACAGTTATCAAAGCCTTACAGGTAATAAGGAGAAAATGTTGCTTCCTGTGCCTTTCTGGTTCTGTGTTGTTTAAAATTTGTTGACATATTATAAGGCCAACACATGTAGTTCACTCATTTGCTAGTTTTAAAAACAGTTTTCTTTTTACCTTGAGGCCCAGGCACCCAGAGAAGGAAAAAGGAACTCACTCTACCTAAGAATTCATTGGCAATAACTGGATTGCTGAAGCTGTTCCAAGCTACTCTAATCCACCTGAAGAACATGAGCAGCTGACATGACTAAAAATCTGCATTTAAAATTTTAATCTCAATTTTAAAAGAAACACATTAAGAACAATTTCCTCCCTTTTTTTAGAAATCACAAATTGATCTGTCAAGTTTTCTTTGTAATAGCTAGCAGGTATCTCCAAGAAAGAGACTATCATTGTTCACTGTCTTCATAGCTCAATCACTTTTTAACAAGTTCTAGAAACTGGAGTGGCTGCAAAAGTAGGTTCTACACCTAAATCTGTCTGCCTGTGCATTAACTACTGGGCCTCTAATCCCTGCCTTCCCAATTTCTATCTCAAACCTGTGTCAAGAAGGTAAGGATAATAATGCTGGCAACACCACAGACTGAACTGATGACTTCTACTGCTAAAAGCTTGGCTTTCCAACAGAAACCTGTCACCCACTTGCTTCCTCTGCAGGTTCAGTTTGTGTAGTACAAATAAAGAGGGAAATAGAGAGCATTGCCTGACATATCACATACCTAAGCTTTGTGGCTGACTATAACTTGCAAATTGTCATAGGAAGTTTAATTACAAAAACTCTCTTGAAAAGGTTTCCTTATTGCTGAGAGAAATTCATAACCTACCGCTTTACTCCATATACAGAAAGCAGCTAGATGCAATTCTTGACCTTGAGATCTACTGTTTAAACTCTCTTTACCTGAGGTACAACAGTTACAGCTAATTCATACTCGGATCAGACACCCAGCAAACACTTGGTACATGCTTTCCCAAATTACCTAGTGGTTCCTATCGTACAACTGCTCCTAACCAGGAGTAAAATGCTTTTGAAGAGCAATACACATTCTATCCCTCAGTGCTTCAGTGGGTAAGACAGGTCTGTGTTTTACCAGAGGTCTTAATTCTGCACAGTCATAATCTTTCCAAACCCCAGCCCCACTTAAAGAGTATTAAAGTGAATGAATGTTCAACAGCTCGTCCTCAGCAGCCTTCAGGCTGGATACACTGTTCTTAGTCACAAAGACAGTAAATTTTACTGGGACTCAAAGACCAGTTTCACCAGAAGTGAAAGCTTGAATTCCTAAACTGTTGCTCAGATCAAGGAATTAATCTCTGTGCCAACTTGGTTAAAAGTCTCTTTTCTCGCTTTAGAAATGCAAGCAAGAATGGTCCTGGCACCACAACAATTATCCACTAGATTCAATTTAGCACTATTTTATGGGTTAAAAATGTCAATGAGTATTTTACAGAGAAGAAAAACTGTCAAACAAATATTCAAAGAACCAGTACATAATGGACAAAAAAAACCCTAACAAATGATGGGCCTTGAAACATTTTACAGTCCTTGCAATAGGGTAACGGAGAAAAATAAGTGGAATTTGCCTAGAAGAAGCATTCTAGGCCCTTATTATGAATCAACTAATTTCCCATTAAACTAAAATTTAAACTGAAATACCAGTTAACCAGAATGCTGTTAAAATAACATTAAAACTTTTAGACTTAAACTTAAAACATTAATACTTCAAAATGTGTATAAGCTGTTGCTGTTTATTTGAAAGAGAAATGGTCATTTAAAAAAATAGTGAATTGAGGCAGCAAGGATGACAATTAAATGTAAACTCCTTTCATACACATAAAAGAATGAACAAGAGAAAGACAATTTAGCGTCCATTTTCTTTGACATGTTGTACCTCCCATATCCTCTGCAGAATGTAAGAAGCAAAGGTCCTGGAGGTCCACCAGCAAATTCCATTAGCATGGTCAGCAATTTGAAAAAAGGATTGGCTGCCTGCAATGCATAAAAATAAAAATATCTAGTTTGATCTAGTTCATTTCAGACTTTAAAACACACCCCAAACATTTGCATAAAAACATATTTCTATGAACTTCTGACATGAACATTTATTACTTTTAATCCCTCATTATTTAATCTGTAAATAATCCACACACACACACATATATATCTTAATTCTAGAATTGGCCACCTAATTAGAATTAAGACACTTTTTATAGCTAGTGCAAGGCAACATGATCATACTAGATAGGATCAGTCTAGTAGAAAATATATAGTTACACAGAAATAACAGTACACATTGTCTGACATGGTCAGACATTATTCTGAACAAAGAGGGTAAAAAAACCAAGCTGTACAGTCTTGAAGAATTCACCAATTTATCCTGTTTTAGATAGATGAAGATTTCACTATGTCAGAGAAGGTATTATTTTTATGTATTTGCATAACATATAACACAGATCCTGAGAAGTTTACCCAAAAGCATCACATTTTGAGGGTTTACAGTGATTATTATTATTGGCATCCTGTTTTCCTCTGAAAACACCAACATTGCTACTGTAACATGTTGGATCTAATATGATTTTTTTTAAAGTTTGCTAAGACTTACCCAGCTTTTAACAATACTTCAATAAAGTGGTTACTATTATTATTATATATTTTGCACCTCACCAAAAATGCCTCCGGTGCATGTGCGTATGTGCAAAGCAAAAAAAGCATACAAATTTAGCAAATGTTAGCATGACAGGAGGGAAGTAGACTGTCATCTGATAGTGCCCATTCTATCACACAAAGCAAAGCTGTTGTGAGAATGATTTATTATATGCTGCTTTTCCAGCCATGATCATGCTTCCTCTGCTAAACACACCCTCAGTTTTTCCTGATTATTTTTTCTTTTCTGACAGCAGTAGACAAGAATGTCCTTGTGTGAGCATACATTTCTCCACTCTGTATACATTTTTCATGTGGAATCTATTTGGAACTTTCAATATTTTTGTTATTACCAGGGCAGGAATTTATTCTGACTGAAGAAATGTGTTTGCATGCACAGAACTACAAAGTAGTGCCCCAAAACTTGAAGAACTGACAATAATTACATATCTCCAGTTATTCTACCATAAATGTTTTATTGTTACCAATTAGATGGTGGAAATGGTATCTTTATGTAAACAGCCAGGTATCCTGGTGGTGGAGAACCTAGAAATATGTTATTTGGCTTTGAATAAAACTTTTACCTTAAACTGCATACCAGATTTCTGCTTTAGAAAACTTAAAATACAGTGCAGTTAGCCTTCATTTAATGTCACAAAAACTTCCATGGATCATCTTCCATGCAAGATTTTTGATTAGCAAAAGATTATTTAAATAATTTAAAACAGAAAAATATTAACACAAATTATTTAATATACAGGCAGTACGTTTACATACCTCAGGAGTCAACTTTGCTATAGATGTGAAAAGCATGGACACAATCTTAAAAACAAAACAAACAAAACTCACTTAGACTTGTGCTTATTCAGTTAAAATAACAAAAATCACCCCATTACACTTATTAGATAAGACTTTCAACAAATAGCAAATAGTTTCTGATACTTACATGTTCTGCGAGTCGATTATTGTACCGACACAAACTGAAAATGAGATTGCAAGTTTGCCTGATGTTGATACCATCACGGATATGTTGAAACAAAAAAGGAAAGCCCTGCAACAAATAATAAGATATTAGTACACCCTCTACAATTACATATATACACATACATATGTGTGGTTTTTTGAGGCTTATACAGTCATATTTAAATTAATTACCTTTCCTCCTGTTAATGCTGCCATGTCATTTTGTGACAAAGTCAAATGCCTAAAATACAAAAACAACTTTATCATTTTACTTCAGAGATTATTAAGCAAGGGTAAGGAGAAATACAGGACTGAGTGTTAGTTTATATTCTTCAGTATCACAATATACAAGAGAAAATAAAGTTATTGACATAAAACTGAACAAAAATAATATTTTCTACTTAGACCAAATAAAAAAAGAAACACAAATGTGGGCAACTGAATGCATCTAAGGATTTAGCCTGAGTCTTTTATTTGGTCAACAATGATAAAGCATTTATCTTTTAAATGGTTAAAAATATAATGGGCCCATATACAAGCTCTTTTATGCTGTTAAAAAGCCCACCAAAACAAACAAACAAACAAACCCCACAAAACCCCAAACACATAAAATCTCTAATTCCTTTCTGAACTAGCTTAGATTAGAATTTACTTTGGTTTTTCAGAAGCTCTTGCCTTTCTGAGCGAGACTGTTCAACTAGAAGAGCAATCAGGGCAATCATCTTTTCCAGGGCAGCAGGCCTGTATTTTTCTTCCGCTAAAGAAAGTATATCTTCCTCTTCTTCCTCTTCTTCACCTTCTTCCTCAGAAAGTACTTCAACATGTGGCTGAAGGAAAAAAAGATCACTTCCATGTGGACATTTTAAGATCTGTACAAGATTTTACATATATTCTGTCCTCTCTTTAGTCAAAACAACTTAATAAATTTGCATGAATCAAACCAGGTAAACATCTAATCACCTGATTTTTGTGTTGAAGCACTCATTTTGCATAAGCTAAATTGTATTTACAAATGCAAAAAGTAAGTTGGTTGAAGTCACTACACAGCCTGATATGGTGGTCTATTTAATTAAAAAAAGCAAGTAAACATAAAAGCTTAAGTTGTACAATAAGAGTAAACAATCGATTGTTACCATCAATAGCATGATGAGGGCAACTTTACTTGCTTCTACTTAAGATCTATTCCTATAATAAACAGAAAACTCTGGTTTATAGCAGAGCCAATTCAGCATTGTTTTAAACTATTATATTCACTCAAAATAAATTGTACAAGCGAAGCAATTTTAATTTAACAGCTGAAAGATGGTTCAAGAGACACAGACATAATGATCACATATGTAAAATATGAAAGACTCGTTCCTGTTACACAAGATATTCAAACTTACATTTTCAGGTCCTTTAGTTCCCATGTAGAAATGGACCATTGTAGATATGGCTTGCAGTGAAAGCAAGAACTGACTCTGAAATATGTAGATATTGTATTACTTGAAAATATGTACATGCATATACATTCCTAATCTCCAAAATTGCAAGGCTATACTTACTTCCTCTTCTCCCATTTTGGCAAATTCATAAAGAAAGGCAAAGTATTCCGTGAGATGTTTACTGTGAGGCTTAACACCATGCTCCATAATTGACAAGAGTGTCTTCACGAAGCGTGTTACACAAGAGCGACTGCCAATGTCTTCCACAGGACCATCCATGTCATCCGAACTGAAAACAAAATCCAATTTAGATATTTCACACAATATGTGGAACATAAAATCATCTTGTATTAGTAAAAAAAAACAAAACCAAACCAAAACAAAAAAAACCAAAAACAAAAAACCAGAAAAACTTACAGTTTTCTACTCTGACTTATTGTCACATTCAGACCTCTAACACCTTTTCTCATGCCAAGTACCGCCTAGATAAAACATTGCTTAAACTAAGGTAGTATCCATCATTCCAAATGTTGAAAGGTTAATAAAATCAGTATTCTGAAACTATTCTAGTCAGGAAAAGAATTCCTAAAAAAAAAAAAGTATTAGGGGATCTGCTACTTAAAATTATCTTCTTGATTTGCATGTCAGTTTTCCTGAGTTTCAAGAAAGAATGCTGTTAGAGCTAATTTTATTGTGGAATTAAAGAAAGGCCATCTCCTAAACACATACACAGGATCCTGGCAAGGCAGAAAAAATGCACTTTCAACCTTATTCATCTACTGAAAGTTGGAACTTATCACTGAACAAACCAAGTGGCAGAATCTTTTAAAGTAAGGCTTCCAGAGAAAATTAAATTCTACTTTTTGCCATGAAAATCTTATCTTCATGTCCTGAATTTTGCTATGGCACTATAGTTATTACAGACTCTGCCATTTTTTCTCTGGAAAAAAGTTATTATCAGGATCACAAGCTTAACCCAAGAGAGGAAAGAAAAAACACCTTCTTCTCATTATCTATCAAAAAGAATAAATATTTCATAATTGGAGACAAAGTGACAGTTTTCTTGATAACTAGCAGAACAAAATAGAAGCCAATAGTTTTCTTCTACTTTTTGACAAAAACTGTGATTTAGCTATATGATACAGGACTAGACTCTCACCTCCAATTTCTTTTACTGGATGTACAAATTTAAATTTGAACCTATATGCCTTTGGATCCAATTTACAGTTGGATTCTCATGCATAAGTAGAGATATTTACACTTGTAGCGTATTACTGGCAGTGAAAAGAAAGACTGCTGAAAATCTAGTCTAAGGGAACAAATGTTTCAAAGAATGTCTCTTCAGACACTGGCTTTTCCAACCACAATAATATTATTAAATAGAGCATTTTGGGTAGAATAATAAAGAACAGTTAAACCAGTACTATTTTAGGTTTACAAGACCATTCTCAATAATTAATTAAACAAAAGCAGTTTCTGTAGTGCATGTCATAAATAGAAGTTTTCAGGTGGTGTTATTTTACCAGTCTTCCATTCCTGGCTGGAGATAAAGATGTGCATGCACTGGCCTCAGTCTCTGTATCACATGAATACACAAACGCTGGAACATCTGCAAATGCATAAGTAAATGAACTCCACATGTTCATTCTTTTGCATATACGTCAATACATACTTTCTAAGCAAAAGAATATCCTGTCTCCAAGTACTACTTCCAGCTCTATATGATTCAAAGTTAAAGCTGAGGTTGAGACCCCCCCACAACCCACTTATTAGTGTACTGACACATCATCTTTTAACAAAATAGTCAAACCTGTTTTTTATAAACAGACCTTATGGAGGGACGCTCAAATCAGTTTTCAATATCGGTGTGTGCTGTATACTACTGAAACATGACTTAAGACTGCTGCTCACAAACGTTATTTTTTTCTTCTATCTCTCTTTCTGGAAATGTTTAGATATTTTTGGCAAACATTTTTTTATTTTGCTTCTGGCTTTAAGAATTTATGTGAAAATTTTAAGGAAATTCCTTCTAGTAATTTTTAATCTGTAAAACATTCATCAAGGATTAGAGCTTTGCCTAAGATCTTGCATAGAGTTCTCCTGTGAAATATATTCCTTTAATTATGCGCTGCATACAAAAACTATATGTGGCTTTATAGGGAAGTAGTACTTTAATAATCAGAAAAGTTAAACCAATTGAAGGGTTCAGGTAAGATAAAGTAATTGCTAACGTTTTTACCTAAATGACTTGCAAAAACAGTACACGGGCGAAACTATTAATAGCATTTGTACATGTGAATATCCAAATGCTACTAATGTAGGGTTTTTTCAATTTTAAACATTGTCAGAAAAGGGTATTAACAAAATTTGTGGCATAATTAAATCTATCTACGAAACCCAAAGGCAGAAGTTTAGAAGTGAAGCATTCCATTAGGAGTATTGAATCTACATAATTTATTACTGGTTATTTTCTGAATGTGTGTCTGGATGCATTATTGTTGAATCAATTCTGAAGAAAAACATTTAAAATGTGAAGCGTTTAAATCTGCAGAGATCATGTGGGACTTGTAGAAACCTTAATTTGTATCTATTGTGACATTTTGTGATCCTAACTGTACCACTATGGCCCTATAGTAACATTGTTTTTGATTCAAACATTAATAATGCTCCCATGGCCAAATATTTTCTCTAAATCATATGCAAGAATGGAAAAGAATAAGATAACTACAAGTATTAATAGAAACTTTCAGAACCATTGTATGTGTCATAATAATTATCCATTTCTGTTCATGGGTCAAGTAGTCACCTGACTTAAAAAGGGACATGTTTTCTTACCTGTCTCACAATCTGATTGGGACACTTTATTAGAATCTGCATTGGCCACCAATCATCATCAGCCATACGATCCAAAAACCACTGCAGAAGATACATACTTTGTTAGTTTCGTTCCAAACTTGTTCTAGTCCAATCTTCTTTTTGCATGATATTAAAGTCTGAAGAGAAATTGATGTTACTATTATTAAGGAATAAGCAAGTATTAATCCAAGGGAAATTTAAATGTCTTCCGTGCATGACAAGAAAGGAATAAAGATCAATAGCAGTGCACATCAATATAAATTTATATCCAGTATATTCTTATCCCTATGTTCTGCATGCCATTATTCAGCTCTCTGGAAGGACATGCTTATCCTGAAAAGTGATGTTAACAGAATAAAGAATGATGCTTACAATGAAGGATAAACTGAAAAATCTTGTAGAATAGGGATAAGCTTAAACAAGAATGTAGTTCCTGAATGAGTTCCCTTTTGCATTTTAAAAATAACAGAATGATTCATTCAAAGTTAGACTCAGCAAATAGTACAGCTGAGTATTCTGACTCCATGAATTTTGTTTTATTCACAAGGAAAGACACTTTAAATTAAAGAATACAAGCTGTTGTTCCTTTTATTTTATACCTGAGTATTTTTTACTATATTAAATGTCTTCACTCATTTTAAGTATCTTAGGACTACACCACACAAATGAAACTTTATCACCCAAATACTGAATGTTACATAACAATTTAACAACCTAGAACCAATTATAAAAAAAAATTAATTTAATTCATTCATACTAAATAAGGTCTGATGCACGATACTGTACGTATTGGAGTCCTTGCACATTCAAACTGTCACAGAAAGACTATCACAAAGTTTCCTTCAGTATCTCAAAACTGTTTTCACAAACACCACAGTGAACTCTTCGGCTACAGTTTCACTGACCCTCTCCACTTTGTCCCAGAGTCCCTTCAGGCAGTGTCCCCCAAAAAATCATATAAAAAAAACATTCCTCCATTTTTTATCTCCTTCTTCCAGGAGTTTTCAGTCTTTCTACACATTGGATTCAAGATCCTCAGCTTCACAAGAAAGGCACTATATTAATTTGTTTTCAGCTAAGTCTGACATCAGCTGTTATTCCCTTCTGCGGTTCTTCACACTGCACCGCAGCCGTTAATTTCACTGCCCTCTTCCCTTGGATTCAACTCCAGTCCCTGCCATTCCGGTCTTTAAACATTAGTCTGTCTCTCCATTTCTCTTGTGCAATTTCAGTTACACACCTCTTGATGACACAAACCTGTATGTAATAATCAAATAAAGAGGCTGTGACATCGTGTGTCTTCTATTCTAGTGACAAAATGATTTTTGCCTATGGTCTCATCGCAGGTGTCTGAAAATAAAAGTCAAGTCATTCCCCAGAATCTGCAGTATTCAGAGAGGATGAATTTCATCTCATAGTGCACAAATATGCCAAATACAGTAGCTCATAGTCCAAAATATTCCAGGGATACGAACCTCCAGGAAAGTTAAACAATACATAGAAAGTTGGTTTGTACTTTGCTGAGTTCCTAAGTCACTTACTTCACAAGCTGCCTGACTGTTATTAAACTGTTTTGTTAACAGTTCAATCCACTGAAGCATTGTAGGCTGTAAAAAGAAATACAGAAAAACTGTAACTTAAAATAATAAATTGCAACATAATCTTTAAACATTTCTAAGTGGTCAGTTAGAACACTGAATCTTAAGAATATAGTTAAACACTGAACACTTTATAAACTAGTGATACGTTGCACCTACTCAAAAATAACAGTACATAGGTTGAAACTGATGCAAGCAGTATCTATGCTTTTGGACTAATTGTCCAATTACAGATTATTACATATTCTTACTAATCCCAGACAATCTAGAATTAGTAACATTACGCCACCATAGATGAGAAAGAAGTAAAATCTGACTGAGAATAAAGATGTTTCAGATAAAATAGAACTTTCTTTTTGTTCATATTAGTATTTGTAACTTAAAAATTAATGAGCACAGCTCTGCTGAGTGGTAAACACTCCCCTCTACATCAGACTTTAACAAGTGCTTGTTAAAACCCAAATCACCCATGAATTTCACAAGATCTGTTGTTCCTGATGCACTGCTGAGGCAAAGTAGGCTAAAAGCAGAACCCACACTTTTTTCCATTATGTTTACTATAAAAATTAACTTTGTATCATCTATGGTACTTAATACATGTCAAAATCATACATTTAAAATGAAAAGTATAGATGTACTTTTCACTATATTCATGCAGTTATTTAATGAAGGTTTACAAGTAAATAGAATACCTTTTCCTTTGAATGAATAAATGTCTCTAGTACAAAGGAAGTGCTTAACTGGAAAAAAAAAATATTTCACCATTAATTACAGAATGCCTGAATTAAAATGTAAAGAAGGTAAAATTTAAAATAAGCACAATATACTTTTGAAGTACTTACCTTTGCTGTCATCAGGGAAACTGCCTTTGGATCAGGTAGTGTGCTTGGGATGCTACTACACAACTGCCACATAAACCTAGAGTCAGTAATTTTATTTGTTAATTAAAATAAATAATGAAAATCTGCAAGAAGAAAAGAAGTATTAATATTACATTTTTTTAAGAAAAACTTACCCAAAATATGTATGTTCAAAAATGTTCTTGTCTTGAAGAAACTGCATGTTATCATGCCATATCCACTGAAGAAAAAATGCTAACATCAGATACAAGAAAGCAGTTTATTTCACTACATAAGCATAACTTTAAAAGTATTTAAATGCTTGCCATGGCTAAAGGAACAAGATTTTTTCTTTTGAAAAATTATTCCTGGAAACATTTCCTTTATTTTAAAGGACTGGTTCAGAGTTCTTTTTCCACACTAAAGTGAATATTATTTTGGGGGGCTGTATAACTGCAGAACGGAGCTCAGAACCTTCTCCTCCTTCTGTGATCTCTGTTTTACAACTTAATTACTCACATTTTTAGGCTGAAATGTTGAGAACTGGTCCAACATGTTAAAAAAAGCGCCACAGCTTAAGACCGTATTTTGATGTCTGCAATAGCGTAGTAACTTAACAACACAAAAAGCTCTCTATAAACACATAGTTTCACTAAGTGAGATCAGTTAAGACTTCCCAGCAGCCTAGCTAGGTATGCTAAAGATGGAAGTTCTGAACCAAAGCCTGATGAACTCTGTGAACTTTTCATAAATTCGTAAGCAGTAAGATTTGACTCTCCATCAATTAACCAGAAAAGGATTTCATGCCAGGTCCCCCTGTTCCTCCCTTCAAAAGTATGTTTTTGACCAAATCAGGTTGTAGCATTTTTTTAAAATAAAAATAGTTTTAAAGTTTAACTCTGATAAAATCTATTATTATTTTCAAGACTGAGAGGAATGAAAAGCACAATCTGATCTGCTGGCTAAGGATGAAGAGTCTTTTTAAGTTCAGAACCTACCATGTGACAGATCATAAAGCAACACTTCTGGCCAGAGGGAGCAGGGAAACAGGCTTTTCAGGTGATAAACAGGGAGAAGAATGTCTCACAAATCCCATATTGGGGATACATCCAGCACAGTGAGATCCTTAGTGAAATACTCTGCTCCTGTGTGTTGCCTTTTCCAGTTCCTCAGACCATACATGGCTTAAATAGTATCTTTATGTAAACAGCCAGGTATCCTGAGAACAGCCCTCACCACTGAGGAGAACAGGGATATGGAGGTCTTGCTGGTTTTTGTTTTCCCTACCTCTTTTACTCACACTTGTGCTACTCTATGACTATGGGGAGGAAGGGATCGTTTTCTGAATGATGCTCCCCATCACAAGCACAAATAGGCACAATCTTATCTTGCTTTCACTTAGAATTTCACAACCCACTAGCAAAAGTGCAAACAAACAGGTGGAACTATTCTCTATCTCCCCTCAAAGCGATAAGTTGCTGAGGAAAAAAAGGATGAAAAGGACTGTGGTTAACGAAAATACTTCCTGCAATATTGCAACTGTTCAGAAAATGTTGATAAGCACAAAACCAAAAAACAGTGCTCTACCATTTTTTACAAATACGAAGCAGAATGATTCAGATATCTGAATTAAAAAATAAAGGACAGAATGAGAAAATGTCTAAAATTTACATACAGTGGACAGTTAATTTACTTCTTAGCATATAACATTCTAAAGAAGACAGCTAAATGAAAGAATTGTCATCTTATTGATTTAAGTTATATTTGCTTTCCTCTGTTTATTCAGATTCCTGATTTGTTTAGGATTTCCTATAGTATTTTAAAATCAGTGTTAAAACAAATCAACTTGTACCTCCAGCAATTCTGATGAAACATCAAATTTGTAGTCTTTGCCATTTTCCTCCTCTGGTTCCATCCGTTTATAAAACAGCATGTAAGCACTGTGTGTCTTTAAGAAAAAAACATCTGTGTAATTTTTGCTTTGAGAGATAAATCATAAAAGTAGAAATATAATCATAGAAAAAGTGTTTGGAAGAGAATTACCTTTTCAAAGGAGAAGTCCATAAATTTATCAGTAACAGAATCATAAGTTTTTGTCTGTCAAGAAGAAAGTAAAACCATTAATTACAAGATTTTTCTAATGGTCTGGTTATTGACAGTTTGAGATAAATGTGCTAGCAAACTATTTCAGGACATTTACAGAGAGGCTGCTGACAAGTCATTTCTTGCTCAAAGTAGTCATCTTTCTTTTTTTCTTCTACATCGGTCTATTCTGATTTTTCAGAGTTGCTACGCAATACTGTGAGCTCTTGCAATTTCCTGTCTCATCCATCTCACTGACACCTTTTTAGGCACCTAAAGGAATTTCATCCATTTGCCAAACAAAGTATTTCTTTGTTTTATTTCTGCATAGTCACTTTATCAGACTTTTCTTATCCACAGGACTGTTTTAGTAAGATACTGCATTATTAATCATGTGTTTTATATAATGATACATAATTATAAAAAATTATCAATTCAAGCATAACCTGAGAACATTTCAGTATTGTTCAACTGTTATTTGTATTAATACTCTGTAAAAATATTTGGACTTATGTCAAAGGGTGGTGGGCTGATCCAAAAGACAAAATATTTAAAAACCTTGCACTACTGAAAGCAAACAAATATCAACTTGAGAAACTTTATCTTCTCACAATAAAAGGAACAAGCAAAACTATTTAAGCATGTAGATCCATTAGCTTGAAAATCACTTACTAATATAAGAGCTCAA